AAGTACCTAGCACAGTCCCTGGTCAGGGGTTGAGGGCTTAATCCTCAATAGGGGGTATGCAGGAGGCACTGATCAATGATTTTTCTCTCATCATTGATGTTTCCTCTCCTTCCTCTCTGAAAACACACACACACACACACACACACATACACACACACACACACAACCTCTTGTATTTTAGAATTTTTAATTTCCTCAAAATAGTCCTTTCTTTTACTACTAACTTAAGGCAAGTCTCCCAATTTTACTATCACCATAATCCTAGTCACGGTGAAGTATCCTTTATAAAAATACCACTATCACTAAATATATTTTAAAAGCACCAAAATAAAATGCCAAACCTCCTACTCATCAGACAGTAATCCTATATAATAATAAAGAGCTAATATGCTAATTAGACCAAATAGCCAACAGACATTCTGGATGAAGTGGGGCTGCGAGGGCCAGCCAAGGCTTCGAGGGGCTGCAAGGGCCGGCCAGGACTGCGAGGGCCGGGCCCCTTGCACGAATTTTGAGCATCAGGCCTCTAGTAAAAAATAAGTATGGCCCGGCGTGGCTCAGTGGTGGAGCATTGACCTATGAACCAGGAAATCACGCACGGTTCGATTCCCAGTCAGGGCACATGCCCAAGGTTGCAGACTTGATCCCCAGTGTAGGACATGCAGGAGGCGGCCGATCAAGGAGTCTCTCTCATCAATCTTTCTATCGCTCTCCCTCTCTCTAAAAATCAATAAAAATAGTCTTTTAAAAAAATTAACCCTAGCATCTTCAACTATCAAATATAGGAATTTCAGTCACGGAATTTAGTAAAACTAGTTTGAAGGAGAGTTATGTAAGCCATAATTTAAAACATTAAAATTCTTTTTTAAAAGTTAGAAAAATCACAAGGTCCTCACCTAACAACTTGTATTTTTAGATCAAGCACTGCCACTCACCACAAAATCATTTATTTCATAAACTAGAAATTTATCATATGTTTTTTGAAATATTTCTGAAAAAGGGATGGCCAAAAACTCTGGGAACCCTACCTACTACAGTTACTTTGTTAAACTTTAACCTTCCTATAAGTTATAAACAATAATCACTAAGCCAGATGTCTCATAGAATCAGGAATTCTGCCATACTACCATATAAATCCTGAGTTTGATCAAATAACTACACGTGCAAAGAATACTGCTACAGTGTGTACACAGAGAATGTAAAAGACAGGCACAGTCAGAAAAAAAAAATGGCTTTAAAGATACTACATGTGAAGACTGAGGGAAAAAAAACACACAAACTTACCAGTTTAACAGCCTCCTGAGCTGCTTCTTTTGCACAAAAAGTGACAAACGCATAACCTCTATTGAGACCTGTAAGTGGATCCATCATTAGACGAAGATCCCATATAGGTCCAGCTTTCTCAAATAATGGAACAAGTTCATCCTCAAATAGATCTCTTGGGATCTTCCCCACAAAAATCTGTAAATTAAATATGAAGTAAAAACCATGGAGAGTTTCTTTAGGAAACCAGACACCTGTGCAATTACCACAAAAGGTACAAGTTTTTAGTTTCTTTACCTCAGTGCCAACAGAAGGCTGCTGACCTGAATAAACGGAATCTGGAGGTGGTCCCCCATACTTCCTCTGTCCAGTGGTCACATCAAGTGTGTAGCCTGTTCTTTCCAAGAGTGCCTTAAAGAATTCAAATGTCATTAATACATTTAACTCACAAGACCACATTTGCATTTAGCAGTTAAAAATTGAAATAAATCTTGTTCAAATTTTCCTCTATCCTGGCAACATTCCTACAAACAGGTTTCTGGTGTCTGTTTTAGAATTTCTCCTTTAATATACACTTGTAATAGCCCTAATTTATTGTGAAAAATCTCAAGATCCTGTTCAAATTATTTGCTGGTCTCTAATTACTGAGTGTGTTTAATGAACAACAGGAAACATATTAATCCATCAATAATTTTCAAGGCATGGTCTATCTATTCTAATACCCCCTTAAAAAATGACTGCACCGCCCTGACCAGGTGGTTCAGTTGCTTAGGAGCATTGTTCCAATATGCCAAGGTTGTAGGTTCCATTTCCAGTCAGGGCACATATAAGCAGCAGTCAACAGAAGCATTAATGAGAGCAATCTTATCTAATAAAGTGGGAATATGCAAATTGATCATCACAACGCAATTGTCAACATGGCTGCGCCCACAGCTGAGGCCGAGTTCCTGTTAAGTTAGGGGCCTTAACCAGCAATCAGCAGAGACCTGAGGCTGTGTGGTGCTAGGCCAGGGCAGGGACCTGAGGCCACATCCCCCACCATGTGGGGCTTGACGGGGAACCTCAAGGCATGCTCCTGGCCCAGGGGACCTCAGGCTGTGCACCCCACCCCAGGCCAGAGGACCGGAGGCCGCGCCACCCCTGACTGGTGGGGCACACTGGGGGACCTCAAGGCACAGCCCCCCCGCCTCGTGCAGGGCCAGGCAACCTGAGGCTGCCCCCCCACACACACACCTGGTGGCGCTTGACAGGGGGGGGGCCAGCCGGGTCTGGATCTAGCCCAGTGGGGGTGGAGCCGGATGGATTTGGGTCTCATCTCCCATGATTTCGAGGTACATGTGGGAGGGCGGGGACTCAACCCTGGTTCCCGTGGCTCACCCCAGACTCTGACAGGAGGAAGATTTTCACACACATTTTACTAATTTTCTTTCATCTATGACACTTCTATTATAGAGAAAAGGCAAATATCAATATTAAACTATTTCCTCTAATTCCCTTTTAATGTGCACCTAATAGAATCTTTTAAAAAAAAAAAAAGGCTGAGTTTAATTCGTTCCTGAAAGAGGAGATGAATGTCACATCTCCCAAACCTGGATTTCTTACCCAATAAATTCCCTATATCCCACACTCCTAGTACATAATGCCATTGTGGGCATTTCACCAGCCTTTATGGAAATTGCACTCTGCAAACTAAGTTATAGTTAAGTCCAAAAACTTAGGAGCTACAGGAAAAACAACTCTTATTCATTTGACAGTCAATACTTGATAGAATAGCATGGGTCTTTCAGAAAAAATAAAGCCAAATGACTTTGAAATCTTTATAAAATTGTAACAGTGTAAAATAACTTCTACATTTTATCTCTCTGAAAGTGAACTGTTAGAATTTACACACTCATATTTACTTAGAGCATTAGGAGTTTCTCTTCATCCCTTATTATAAGCAAAAGTACTAGGAAAGTAGTAGTCCATGGTTAGCCTAAGGAAAAAACCAAGAATTATTCCCCTTCACCATCTCAAACAGCAAAGCACAGAACCAGTTTTCCAAATAATAAAACTAATCTGATAATTAGCTAATAAATTGTGAACTAAAAACACACCAGGCACATAACTTAGCAAAATTCCATTCAATGATTTAGGATCACCTGTCTCTGAAAATGACCAGACACATTTAAGAATGTTCTATTCAAAGAATATTAAGTATTTATGAAGAAATACTGTTAAATGACAAAAACTCCTCTACTCCTAAACTTTAATAAAGCATTAAATATTTTAAGCAGTCTTTTTCTATTATACCCAAATGTTTGCTTAAGGGTGCAACATTGGTTAGTAACAAAAATAAACTCAAACCTATTACTATCCCATATACTAAACCATTAAATAGCTCTTCTTCCCTTTTTCCCCGTATGTAATCCCTGTGCTTCTTATATCTTAATGTTTATATATGGCTCAAATAATACTTTTTATTCAATCCCTAAAAACAAAAAGGAAAAACTTATTCCTTGTTAACCACCTATAAAAATGCTTCTGCCTTCTCACAATTTAAGTTACAGCAACACTTTAAGCCACTCTTTTCCAAAGATAGAACTGAAAGTCACACAAATTACACTTTAAACTTTTTATAAAATTTTTTTAAGTCTAACTCCCAATGTAGATTTAATTACATTGGTAAAATTTCTATGGAAAAATTAGATTTACAGTTCAAACACAATTCACTGACAGCTAGACCTGTGAAAGCCTCAAATTTCCATGTGCCCTTAACCACTAGCTCTATATTCAAAGCTTCATTCTTCCCACACCATTAAAACACCACCTAACACCTATACTGTGTTTTAATAACTGATTTTCTTAAACCATAACTCTTGGTTCAAGAGCACTGGCACACTATATTAAGAACACCAGGTAAGCCCTGACAGTGTAGCACAGTGGTTGAGCACTGACCCATGTGTCAGGAGGTCCTGTTTGGATTCAGGGTCAGGACACATGCCCTAGTTTCAGGCTCTATGCCCCGTAGGGGGCGTGCAAGAGGCAGCCAATCAATGGTTCTATCATAGATGTGTCTATCTCTCTCCTTTCCCTCTCTGAAATAAATGTATTTTTAAAAGAAATCAGTAAAATTAAAAAACAAAAAACACCAGGTTAAAACTAGTATGATCACCACATTTTCTACACAAAAATCAAAACCCAATTGACTTTGAGAACATTTACTATTTTATAGGACCTTAAAAAAAAACCTCCCACTCCTAGCCTGTTTTCTCACTTTCATTTCCATGCTGCTTTTAGGAATGAACAAATTCGCCTTAATAACCTATAATACTGAAGGGGAAAAAAGACAGTATTAAAATTCTAAATCCATTTCATTTGAGGGCTTGAGAATCCTAAGAGAAGCAGTCAACTGCTAAATGTACACTCTCCATCAGCATGGGCTGAACTGATCCCCTCCCATTTTGGTTCCACTGTCAATAACCTGGACTTGCAGATTTTCAAAAACCATCTAAAATATGGTGGATGGACTTTTTTCAATTTTTTATTTAGAATACCAATAGCAAAGGTTTAACATCAGTATAGCTGGGCAACCAAAAAAAACCCTACAACTTTAAGAACAGCGAATTGTTTTAGAAACAGTTAAAGGCAGAAAACTTTTCAAAAACAGTAATTACAAAAAATTTGCAAATTATCTCAGGGTCATTAATTCTCAGTAACTTTAAAAAAAATCATTTCACATCCATAGAATATTTAGCAAAGCTATAAAATAGTTAAAAGAACTTTAAAACTGAAGGGAGCAAAGTACTTTTTTAAGACATACCTTAATTTTTGCCTCATCTGGTCCTTTGCTAGAATCCGCTACTTTGGTCCCCTGTTTTTCTCTCTGCCTATAAGTCTTCATGACTCCACATAAAAAGGCACTTTTGTTCTGAAAAGTAATTTTCCAATCCTATTTAATAATTACGTCATCTGTATCTTATTCAATCAAATTTAAACTACATCGAAAGTACTCAAGATTTTTATTCTTTTCACACTGACATTAAATTAGTATTACCTGAACATGAGAGAGATCACTGTCTTTAAACTGCTGAAGAACTGCCAATGCACCGTCTTCATTGAATTCCTTTAAAGCTTCGATAGCTCTTTCATCTAAATCACTATGTGCAACCAGCCCTGGAGAAGAGAAAACTTAATTAGTTGTCAACTTTTAATATTTTTGGAAAGATCTTTTTTGAGTACCAGATTCACCAATAAAGGTAGCATGTGTGCCAACTAAGTATTCTTCCATTCCTCTTACCATCTATTTAATGACACATACTTTAGCCATTTTGAAACTGCACTCTGAACTAAAGCCCTCTCAACCACACTTACAATAATGACTCAATTTCTTTTAGACCTTGCTCTCGAAGTCAGATAGTTCTGAATATTAAGTATTTCTACAGTAAATATATAGGCTTACAAATCCTAAAATCAACCAACAAAAACCAAGGCTGACAACTGAACCTCTATCCATTTAAAATAACCACTAGAAAAAGCAAAAGCCACACCAAGACAGACAACCAGTCTACAGTTACCAAATTAATTAGGAAGAATCCTACTATAAAAATACCCCAAAAGTCACAAGGCCTGTTCCCAACAGTTAGCAGCTGTTGCTACCATCATATATACTTATCCATCTGGCCAGCCAGCCTTTATTTACCTCCTAACCTTTCTTTCTTCCTTCCCTCCCTCTACTATGTACAGTACACCTTAACCTGCAGTTCACAACTATCACAACAAGGCAAAACAAAACTCCAGTTCCCACACTTATTGGAAACCACAAAAAGTTGCTATTTTAGCTCAAAGCCAGAAATCCAATAGAAAAATTTCATAATGCAATTTTGCAAGTGTTAGTTCTTACCTGCAACGTAAATTTCATCTAGTTTTTCAGCAACTTTCTGTGGTAAACCAGCATCAAGCAATGTCTGAAAATTTTCTGAATGGATAACTGCAGAAGTAGTATCCATGGGCTCTTCAGTACCATTTCCATTAACATGTTCTGTAGCCATGTTTCCAGAGATCTGTTCAAACGCAATAAGCAAAATTAAACTAGGATCTTCAAAAAGGATAGAGGACAAAATGAGAGCCCCAATCTTTACTTTCTCTACCAAGTTCTACACCAGCCTGGGCCTCCCTTTAAAGAAGCCGTAAAGTCACTATCGCCTGACAAGCCTGATGAGCGAGGGGCAAGAACGGATTCACTTGTTTTTCCTCAGCACCGCCCCTGCCTCACCTGCCAGCACTCCCTAGGAAAAGCATTACCAATGGAGCCCGATCCGCACGAGGACCAGCCGGCATGCCACATGCAGCTGTGCCCGCACAGAGTGAGGTGTGTGCGGGTCGAGCAGAGCTCGGCCGTCCCCTCTCCAAGGTAAGCCCCCAAAGTGCGCGCTTTTCCCGCCTGCCGCTTTCAGATCGGTAACAACAGCCAGCGAAGAACAAAGCGCTCACACAAGATACCTTCCCACCCCCCAATTCCTCCACCCTTCACCCCCGCACCCCAGAGCCCGCCCCCGGCTCCACACCCAGAGTGGCAGCCTCACCGCTCCGGGCACCGGGAGCCCATTAGAAACACGTGCTCTGCGCCTGCAAATGTCCTACAACTTCCTCCAACGGAAACCCACCGAGTCCCAGGCCCAGACGGCCGCCACCGGCTCCCAACATCAACCCGCAGCCGCGGTCCGAGTTCCCGGAAAGCATCAGCAGCACAAGCTCACCCCTCAACACCGATGCCGCGTCGGCGACAG